ACTTGCACCACTGTCGTGATCAATTCCTTCTCCTCCTCGTCCTCCTCCTTATTCTCTCCCCCTCCTCCTCCTCCTCCTCATCCTCCTCCTCCTCCTTCCTCCTCCTCCTCCTCCTCTCACCTCCTCCTTCCTCTCCTATCCTCCTCCTCATCCCCCCTCCTGTCTCCTCACTTCTCCCCCGCGCCGCCGCCTCCTCATCCTCTCTCCTCTTCCTCCTCCTCTCCTCCTCTGATCTCCTCCTCCTCCTCTCCCCTATCCTCCTGCTCTTCCATCGGCCTCCTCCTCCGCTCCTCCTCCCTCCCCTCAACCTCTCTGTTCCTCCTGCTCCTCCTCGTGCTAGTGCTGTGCCCTCTCCTCCTCTCCTACTCCTCCTCTCATCCTCCTCATCTTCCTCATCACTCCTCTCGAGCGACGCTCTCGTTTCAGCTCTTCCAAGCTCGTGCACTCCTCCTCTCTCCTCATCCTCGTCCTCCTTCTCCTCCTCTCCTCATCCTCCTCCTCCTCCTCCTCCTCCTCCTCCTCCTCCTCTCCTCCTCTCTCCCCTCCTCCTCCTCCCTCCTCCTGCCCCTCCTCGTCCGCCTTCTCCTGCGCCTCCTCCTCCTCCTCCTCCTCCTCCTCAGCATCCTCCTCCGCATCCTCCGCATCCTCCTCCGCATCCTCCTCTTCCTCCTCTCTTCTTCCTCCGATTCGCTTCGCGATATATCTGGTTCCCTGATTCCCTCCTCCTCTTCCTCCTCCGCTCCCCTTCCCCTCCTCCTCCTCTCCTCTCCTCCTCACCTCCTTCCTTCATCATCATCTCTTTCATCCTCTCATCGTCTCATCCTCCCCCCCCCTCCGCCTACTCGTCCTCCCTCTCCTCCTCCTCCTCCTCCTCCTCCTCCTCCTCCTCCTTCTCCTCCTCATCATCATTCTCATCCTCATCCTCCTCCTCATCCTCATCCGTCTCCTCATCGTCCTGGTCTCTCTGCTCTGCCCAACCCCCCGCACTCCCCCGTCCCACCCGGCACGCGGAAAGACGGCTAATGATCGTGCTCCCGCCGCCGCGCAGGCCGCGCGATCGCGTAGCCGCGCACGGCACGGCAGGCGGAAGAAACCAGAGCGCGGGGGACGGGTAGGACAGGGGGGGGAGACGGGTGGGAGGAGGAGGCAGAAGGGGGAGGAAGAGGAGGAGGAGGAGGAGGAGGAGGAGGAGGAGGAGGAAGAACAGGATGAGGAGGAGGAGGAGGAGGAGGGAAGATGTAGAGGAGGAGGAGAAACACGAGAGAGGAAACACGAGGACAGGAGGAGAGGAGGAGACAGTAGGAGGAGGAGAGGGGAGGAGGAGGAGGGGAAAGGAAAGAGGAGGAGGAGGAATAACAGGTTGAGCAGGAGGAGGTTGAGGGAGGAGAGGAGAGGAGGAAGACGAGGAGAAGGACGAGAGGAGGAGAGGAGGAGGAGTTCTAAGGAGGGAAGGAGGAGAAGGAGGATGAAGATATGTGGTTTTGCAATGGAGAGAGGAGGAGCAGAGGAGGAGGAGGAGACGGAGAGGAGAACGGAGAGAGGAGGAGAGGAGGAGAAGGAGGAGGAAGGCAGGAGAGGAGAGAGGAGAGGAAAGGTAGCGGAGAGAAGGAGGAGGAGAGGAGAGGAGAGTCGGAGGAGGAGGAGAGGAGGCGGAGGAGAAGGCGCGTAGGAGGAGGCGGGGGAGGAGGCGAGAGGGAGTGAGGAGGAGCAGAACAGCGGGCCAAAGGGAGGAAGGAGGAGGAGGATGGGGGGGGCAGGACGAGGCGGAGGAGCGGCGGCGAGGCGGCAGGAGGCGGGCGAGGGAGGAGGAGGAGGGGGAGCAGGACGACGACGACGACGACGACGATGACGGGGGGGAGGAGCAGGCGATGGAGGAACGAGCGGTGGAGGAACAGAAGGAGCAGAAGGATGAGGAGAAGGCATGATGATGAGGAGGAGCTGGAGGACGAAGAGGACGAGGAGGCAGGTCCGATGATAACTTGATTGAGGCGCGGCCCGCTGTCTCGTCGTGGCCGTCGGTCGAACAGGACTCATGTGGCGAACTGGCGAACAGGAGGAGGCAGGAGGAGGAGGAGAAGGAGGAGGAAGCAGCAGGCAGGAGGCATGCGGAGGGGGAGGAGGCGAGGGAGGAGCGGAATAAGGAGGAGGAAGCGTTTGAAGGCGAGGAGGAGAGTGAGAATCATGAGAATGATGATGTGACGAGGAGGGGGAGGAGCGGGCAGATGAGGAGAAGGAGGAGGGAGATTCCTGAATCTGCAATCATGGGTATTCCTACCTGGTTGGAGGGCTCTGGACGGTCCCTTACCAGTCTTGCCTCAGGGGGTCTTGTTGATGTCGTCAGTTCCCTCGGGACCTGTGCAGGACAGCGCTTTCACAATGAAGGGATCCGGTGGACAAGCACACGCGGGTCCTGGCACACGTCCTGAGGATCATTCCGAGGAGCTGCCGTGGATGAATAAAAAACCTTGAAACCGGATCATAACTTTGGAATTCCGCCGTTCAGAGAAATGAATGCAGTCCGGGTCACCAGAACACTGGGCTCAAAACCATGCATTTGTGGCTCGCGTTTATTCTTTACATTTTCGGCGGCAGCCGCCCATCGTGCCCAGCTTGGAACCCGCGGACTTTGAATGGCGAAATTCCAGCGTTACGAATCAGTTTGGCGTTAATTATTTCTTCCATCCACGGTAGACGTCATGGAAACGATGCGTCCCAGGATGTCCAAGATCGCCCAGACTTCCAAGAGTTCTGCTGAACCGCACGGGCCTTGGGAGCGGGGGCCGCTGGATGCTCTGGACCTCCTGGGCCGCATGCTGAGCCAATCGCGTCATGGCATCACTCTCGTCCTAGTCTTCAGTCGGGCCTGTCCCTCTACAGGAGGAACGCTCAAAAATAGGAGAACAAAAAGGCTGGGCACGATCTGTGGGTCATTCTGAACCTTTCATCCACAATCCGCCTGTGGGGGGACATGCCCGACCTAATTCTAATATTATTTTTTGCTTGACCTGGCCCGTGAGGAGAAGTGCTGCCCGACACCACCCGCCGGACCTGACGCTCCTGGCTCGTGCGCCAGCTTCCCGCGCAGGTGCTTGCTGGTGCTGCGTCCAGCCACGCGGTACCACGGTGCATCATGCGCCATGCCGTGCTGGGCCACGAGAGGCAGTATTGAGCGCCATGCTGTGCAATGCGGCGCCATGCCGCGCCATGCTGCGCCATGATTTGCAGGCAGCATTTTACTGTATCCCGTGTGGAGTTGCATGGCGTCTCCCTGCGCTGCACCTCGTTGCGTTGTATGTCGCATGTGTGGCTTTAGCAATGTACTCCTTGTTTGAGTCGCGCCGGGGTAATGCTCTGACGTTTTCACGGAGGTCTGGTGGTTTCTGGGGGTTGCAGGGGCGTCTCCGAAGTGTTCCTGGACGATTCTGGGGAGGAGGAGTTGACTCTCACTTGGCACCGCCGCGCTTCACTGGCCGCCAGAGACGGGCGCAGCAAAATGGAGCGGCTGTCAAGCAACCCCTCCTGACCTGCAAAGGCGTGACCACTGCCCACTCGAGAGATCATGGCAACGGCCAACGGGGCCCCAAGATGGATAGGCTTCGGTGCGCGGGGGTGCTGGAAGATGAAGCACGGGCGCAGACCCGCATGAGAACGCGCGCGGGCGCGCCTCTGTGGTGGGACGGCCCGCACAAAACGCCCCAGCAAGCATCATCATCCAACCGAAGTCTCAAGCCTGGGACGGAAGAGGGATGGAGGAAGAGCAGGAACGATGGAGTCGAGTCGCAGGGGTTAGGTGAAAAGGATACTCGCAGTCAATCGCCGTACCAAGCATGCGTGATCGCTGCTGTGTCGCACTCACGAAAAGATACAGGTGAAAACTGGCAACAGGGGAATCAAGCCAGTCAATCCAATGTGAGCTAGCACATTCAACCAGCCACTTGTGTTTCACGCGCGTCCACGGGCCTTGAACCCTCACACTGCAGCCCTACCCCTTCCTGCTTTTGACTGGTCCATCACCCGCATGGGGCGCGAGGATGATCATGTGCTTGTGCTTCCGGGTCCAGGCTGGAGGGTTGTTTTCTCCAGGGGGGCGCCGCGGGAAGGGGAGGATCACCCCGTCGAAACCCAATCTGCTCTTCGCCCAGCGCGAAGAGCGACTCGAGGTCAAGAGGGCGAGGGAGGCCAGGAGAGCAGTGAAGAGGCCGAGGAGGACAGGGCGGCAGAGGGTGGGAGGGGGGCAGGCCGGAACAGCTCCCGAGGAGCGGGAGGCGCCGGGCAGGGAGGCCGAGACGAGGCTGGATGACCGCGAAGTGGCCGAGGAGCCATGGGGGACGCGGACGAGGACGGGCCAGAATCCTGCAGGTGCCGAGCGGAGGCCATCATCAACACGGTGGCGAGATCGAAGGCAGTGGAGGCCATCATCAGCACGGTGCCCGCAAATGCGGTCGATGGAGCGTTTGCAGAGATCCAGGCGACGTGCAAAGAGGGCGGACATGCATTCTCGGGCCGGGCCAGAACTTCTTACGCAAAGTCTGCACTCAGCAGGCAAGGCGGAAGATGGAGTCGGTGAAAAGGGTTTCCCCGAAGGCAGTACATCTGAATGATAGATACGAAGATAGTTAATCGTATAAGAGAGGAGAAGAATGAGGAGGAAGAGGGGGAGGAGAAGGGGGAGGAGGAGGAGGAGGAGGAGGAGGAGGAGGAGGAGAAGCAGGAGGAGAAGCAGGAGGTGGGGTAGAACGCGGAGGAGGAGGAGGAGGATAAGGAGGGTGAGGAGGAGCAGGAGGAGACGGAGGAGAAGTAGCAGCACGAGGAGGGCGACGATGACGGCAAAGGCGCCGAGGGCAGCGACGATGGCGACGACGACGGCGGCGACGACGCCCGCGGGTGCGTCGCCTTCACGAAACCGACGAGACTGCCAATGACGACGTTGCCGGCGACGACACTGGCGACGCGGTGACGGCGACGACAGCGGCGGCGACGGCGGCCGGAGGGGGCACCAG